GAGACTTTCCTCTCTGCTGATGTGAACTGAAAGAAACACTGAGATTACATCATCACATCATCATCTAATCATGAAGCATCAGCTCACATGGTGTCCGTCCTCACAGAGACCAAAACAAGGTAAAGGTCCATGACGTGAGGTCTGGATGTGGACCACATGACTCCCTGTAGTGGTTTAGGTCTACTGGTCCTGCTGGTCCCACTGAGAATCAACAGCTCAGTCTTTCAGCTCACTGTTTTCTTCACCAGTCAGTTTGGTTTAGTCCCAACAGGTCTCACCAAGTCCTCCATGGAGCTCTCCCTCCCTCACTGGACACTGCTGAAGGGCCCTGGAGCAAGAAACCCAGAACCTCCACCAGAGTGTCTGGTAGAAACACCTCATCATCAGCCTGAGACCCTCACCTTGCATCAACAGAGGGACCAACGTCTTTGAAGAGTAGAGGAGGATCCATAGACCGGTTACTCTTCATGGACACACAGCTGGGTCCAGGTCCTGGTCTCTGATGGATCCTGGTCACACACATGTAGAAGCAGAGTCAGTGAGTCAGAGACGTTGGGACATGGAGACGAGTGGAGGACAGTTGGAGATGGTCCTCTCACCTCTGAGCTTTGGTCTGGCTGTCATGTTCCCCACACAGAGGGGCTTCAGAGGGAGGGACTCCGTCCTCTGGGTCCTCAGCCTGATTCATAGCAGAGTCCACACCTTCACACCTTCACACCAACCTGCTGGGAGAGCTCACACATTATTATCTTCATCAGGACAAACACACAGAGCTCATTCACCTCAACACTAAAATTCTCATGGGACACTTTGTGTTGTTGTCTTCAGACAACGTGTCAAGAGACGTCATTTTAAATTCTCATCCTATAAATGTCGTGTTTCTTTTAAGCGCTTTCCTTTGGCAGGAGGCAGCGGCCCATCAGGACGTTATTTATGTTAAATCACTATATAGGCTACTAAAACTCAGCATGCAGAATGACAACATGAGATGTGTATCATATATCGCTACGTTTAGCCGCTAGCAAGACACCTCGTTAGCAATGTTAATAAGCTTGTTATAGCACGCTCGTACATTGATGCGAGTATTAAGGGCTCTCGCGATGGCTTCTTTGTAATGTTACTGTGAGCTACAGAGCTGCCATAAAAGCGTCAGCTAAATGACATGTAATGATTTAAAAGATGAACCCGGAGAACCCGGAGAGAACCCACGCAGACACGGGGAGAACATGTAGACTCCACACAGAAAGGCCACTGGGCGGAATTGAACCCAGGACCTTCTTGCTGTGAGGCAGCAGTGCTAACCACCACGCCACCGTGCCGCCCCGACCTCCTGCTAGCAAGAAATCAATTGACTTTTACAACTTTGATCATTCAGCAAGACTTTGTTTTTATTAGATAACCATAGAAATAAATGATTCTCTTCTCCAGAACTAGTTACAATGAAATATTCCACCAGAGTGTTGCTCGGTGTGCCGGTGTTACGTGCCTACTGGTTTTTGAACCTACTGGTTTGTCTACGTTGTTTGTTTCCCTCTACAGCGGCAGATGTTTTCCGCCTCAGTCACCTGATTCGTCGCACATTCGCAAACATATTGCTGAAAATGTTCAAAAGTAATCACATATCCATTGCAGCGATTACGGTCGTATAAGTGAGCACTACGTCACTGCCACGTATGAAGAAATACATTGAAGAAAATAGATTTATTAAAAGATCGCCGCAACCTGGATTCGATCCCCGCGAGCAAAATGACAAAACGTTACAACACGGACGCGCTACGCCGTCGGACACTCGAGCTCACTGATGTCGCCGCTGTTTCCTGTGCCTGTCATCACATTGGACATCGGCAGCGGCTAGAAAACCATTTGGTTCAGAGGGAACCAAGACAACTGGTTTTGGTGGCGCATCGTTCAACTCCCAAACATGTGTATCGATACTTTTTCGCGAGGCTGCAGCTTCCACCACCGACTCGTTTGGACAAAAGGGGGGATTCTGCTCGGACGGTCATCGTGCATCACAGCCACTTAAGAACCTCATTTAAGAAAATATAGATTAAAATAGATTTTAATGAAAGATCGCCACAATCTGGATTCGAACCGTGTCGATCAAAATAACATTTTTCGGGACGTCTGCTCTAAGCAGTGGGCCACATATGGGAGAGTCACATCAGTGAATCCACACTTTCTATCCACCATGTTCACATTTCAACTTTGATAAACACACCTTTAGCTGGTGGGGAAGAGTCACACATGACGTGCAGGTTTGTCCACAACCTTTGGACCGAGTGGGACATTTTGTCGGTGCTTGAAGCTCGCGGACGTTGGAGCCAAAGAACAGCAGCGAATCGGTGGATTATGAATCATTGAGTGAGACAAAGCCTGCAGAGTTACTGTGAAACACACAGCGAGCCAGCAAAGACACACACACACACACACACACACACACACACACACACACACACGTCTTACCTCTGCCGCTTCTCACGGGAATTATGGATTTAATCTGCTGTTTCTGCAGTGAGGAAAGTCCCCGAGCCGCTTCACTTCCTGCTTTATGTGTGAGACGTGAAACCGCCTCTTTCTCATGAAGAGTGGAAGTTATGTTGACTTCTTGAGGTGTGCGCATGCGCAGGCTCCCTGGTCGTTTGGTGCAGTGACGTCATGAACCCTGTCGGTGTCTTCTTGTCAAAGCGACCAGCGACCTTATCTGGTTTCACTGGAGACTTTTGTGGCGTCTGACGTGAAAGCTCGTGTTGTTCTGCAGTTTCTGTCCTCAGAGTCTCACAGGAAGTCCGCATCTGGCCGAGAACGGTCATACTACCCGGATGTGACTCGCCCCGCCCATTTCACCCACAATGCATCGCGGCAGGCTTGTCCGCTCTTGTAAACGCGACAAATATCCCAGAATGCATTTCACCTCAGCAACAGGCAGCGACGCCAGAGGGAAATAATACAACGTTATATTTAATCCACGTGATGTGACTTTGGGACTTTCAGGCAGCGAGTCAGTTGTTTGAGCGACTCGTCTGTAGTCAGTTTGTCCACATTGAGAACTATGACCTCCAGCAGGTGGGAGATGTGACGCGCGGCTCCAGACGGACCGTCTACCAGCTTACTGGTGCGTCTTCATTCAGCCGCACACACGTTCTCCCTCGCGCCGCCTTTAACGACACAATTTCACGGTCATTTGTTGATCACGCGCCGTATTCATTCATATATATATACTATGTAAATCATTTAAAACAAGCATGAGGTGTCGGTGAATAATACAGGTTATAGTTGAAGCACAATTATACTGTATATTAAAATCTAATGAAAAATGTTTAAAGTGCTTCACTGCTGCCAAAGTAAAACATTTTACCCAAATGACACATTTCAAAGTGCTTCCCTGAGCTGAGAGCTAACATCTCATGTCTTACTGCAGGTCCCCCCTTGCTGTCTGGGTTCAACGTGTCGGCTATTAACAGACTCATGAACCTGCTACTGGCTCGGGCGGCCAAAACTGCTCAAACACGACAAAAAAACACATATTCTAATATATTCAAATATCTGGTTGAGCATCAGACACGTCAATAACTGGACAAATGGAAACAATGGGACATAACTACTTGTAAAGGTCATTTAAGTTGAAACATATTACCTACACAAAAATAAGTGAATGAACTGAAGACCGCAGATCTCTCACAAACGCGCTGATCAAGAGTCGTGATTCTGGTCCCTCATGCGTCAGGCTTCATTCAGTCATTGAAACTGAAGGTTTCACAGTACCGACATCGAACGCTCCGAGCGAGCTGTGCCGTAATGGTAGTGGTCCACTCCTCCTGGTGGACCGACCACATAGATACCCCAACAACTGTGTTTGCCAAGCCAGCTCAAGCATCGCTGACTTGAACCTGGCAGAATGGGAGTTTGGAAAGGCTGTGGTGACCTATGTGGGAAAGTGCGCCCTGTGACGGCAGGTGCTCTCCTGTCCTACCCGGCACCCTCCACCACACGGGAACTCCGGCGGTTTCTAGGACTGGTCGGGTATTACCGACATGTTTCTGTGCTAGTAGCACCTCTCACTCGTCTGTGGGGTGCAAAGCAACGTCTTGCATGGACGTCTGACTGTCAACATGCCAGAACCTCCCCTCTGCAGCGCTCCGGTACTGACTTCACCAAACCCCTCAAGATCCAGGTGGACGCAAGTGCTGCTGGAGCTGATGACATCAGCCATCCAGTCTCGGTCAAGTTTCACAATATTCTAATTTGAGATGTAGAATTTGGGGTTTTCATAAGCTGTATGCCATAATCATCCAAAATGATATCAAATAAAGGCTTGAAATATCCCACTTTGCTTGTAATACGTCTATATATTAGTTTCACCTTTTAAGTTGAATTACTGAAAGCAATGAGCTTTGATATTCTAATTTTTCAAGTTTCACCTGTATTTGTCAAGAATAACCAAAATGTGACAACGCACAAAATACAAGACAACAGATTGAAAAATGAATGGAATAAAAGATCGTCTATCAGGAGACAGACGATGACTTGAATAAATCTCGGTTTTATTTGTAAAAAGGTCCCTGGTCCTTTAACGTAGATGAATAAACGCAACCCAATCAACCACCTGTCCCCCCCAACGGTCAACGTCCTCTAACGTTTGTGGTCCTGTCAAATCAACCTGCTCCAGGTGGCACCAGGTGTACGCGTGACACCCATTACGACAGACCCCTCCCCCCTATACTTGGTCCAACCCGATGATGTCACCGCTGACACCCTCCCCTGTATAAACGGAACGGACTTCCCGCGGGAACAGACTCGGGGGACCCGACTCACGGGACCAGGAGAACGGTCATTGCCACAAGAGCAGCCGACTCGATGGCGTCGCCACGTCAGCTTAACTGTGCCCAGAGGCCGGCGCAGCCCCCCCTCAGTGGGTCAGGCACGCTGATGATGCCCCCGGTACCTCCTGCTGTCCTACAGAGAAGGTCCTCTTCAGGTGAACACCCCCAACAACAACGGACGCCACAGATTCTTTATTTGGATTCATAGGACAATATTCAATTGGGTTTACGATAAATAACCATTTATGGCAGTTTGGGTTCGTGGATTAGGGTAATAAATGGTTCTGGTTTAGCCAGATGATCTTCACACATGAACAGAACCTGTAGCAGGACACACGAGGACAAGGACTCCTCGTCTCTGATTGGACTCTAACTGAAGGTCTTATTGGGTCTCTCGCACGCGGCCTGAGAGCAGCGATGTGTCACCACCACCAGGTCCAAAACCACAGGAAGCGTCGCGTTGACCCGGGACGGGTCCTCCTGCATGGTTCCTGGTTAGATGTCGCCTTACACGCGGTCCACGAGGGCTCGAGGTGCTAGGAGACGAGCAGCCGGAGCAGCCGGGCCACCACCACCACGTTGAGGCTGTTTCCCAGAACTCTGTACTGCTGCTTGGTGCTGATCTGCTGCGGGAAGGCTGCAGAAGAACCAGAAGATCCAATTCACCTGGAGGAGAACCGCTTCCCTGCTTCTGCACATCAGTCATCCCGCCTTTAGTCCCGCCTACTTTCCTATTCTCCACCTTCACCATCAGAAGCATTAAACTCTCTGCTGAACAACACGACTCCTTTAGGGTCACACACACACATCTACACACACACACACACACACACACACACAGAAACAGACACACAGACAGACACACACGCACACACACACACACACACACACACACACACACACACACACACACACACACAGAAGCGCTGAGGGAAGCCCATGAGGTTGGCCACCTCTCGGGGGCTGAAGTAACGCAGCTTGAGCTTCAGCAGCTGCTGGAGTTTGTCGTCTTCAGACATCTGGTCCAGACCTGCAAACACGCTCTCCATCTGGAGGACGCACAGCAGTCAACCATGGTTGGACTTAGAGAGAGGTCAAAGAGCTCAGACGTCTGAAGGGAAGTCAGAGTGCAGCCACTGCTGCTTCACCTTGAAACGCCTCCTTTTTGGATTTTTTACGGGCGAGTCCAACTGGTAAGATGCCCGAGGTGGGCCGAGAACATACTGGAGGAACTACGTATCTGGTCAAGACGCAGCAACTTAGAGATCCCCAGAAGAGCTGGAAAGTGTTGCAGAGGTGAGCGGCATCCTCGACCTGCCTACATGATGACCTCTGACCTGGATGAGCAGATAGATATTTCTATCTAAAAGCTGCTTATACAATAAACATCACTTGATTACGCTAAATTGTTGAAATGGACGGTGTGTTTCAGTACTTCATATTTAAGGAACTCACCATAAAGTACAACAGGAGATTCCAAATACCTCTCTGGGTGAACATTAGAAGTGCATCACTCACTGCAACTAGATGCCCTTAGAGGCCATTGGAGGACAGAAGTTGAGGTTGGGAAAAGTACTTTTCTGCTATGAAGCAGCATGTTTTCTAGTTTCCAGTGTTCCATTTGAGGATCTGTCTTCCTCTCCATATACTGTACATCAGTACATTCCAGTTTGTACATTAACACTAGTGGTTATGATAACCTCCATTTGAATGATGCAGCATTGACTCCAATAGGAGCGGATGTATTATTGCCACAAAAGAAATGTGTGCACGTTGTGCAAGAACTGCATTGCGTTCCATCATTTCAAGAGTTATTTTTTATCTGAATACTCTAATAACAAAGTAACAATAGCTGTGGTTGTATCAGTACTGTCCATTACCTCCTTCAGGTCACGTGTGGGTGCACGAGTACACGAGTGAGGACGTGTGCGCACGTCTTACCATGGGACCGGGCGCCCCACGCTGCCCTTGTGGTCCAGTCTTCTTCGTCCGCGGTGGCTGTTCGATCAGAGGACACTGAGGAGACACAGTCCAAGCTTCCTCGTGAAGCACAGTAAACCATTCGGAGGGACACTACCGGAAAGATCTAAGGAGTCCTTTTCCCCTTAGGTCATCTACTTTTCCTACAAGAAATAAGAAAAAA